CGATAATTAATATTAGCCATTTACCCCCAACATGAAGTGATGGGAGAAGGTTTCAGGCCAGGGACAGTCATCCCCTGCCATGCCCACGTGTGCCCCCGCCTGCATTTTAAGTGTGGCTTTGCACACACACACATTTATTTCTCTTTTCACGTACTAGAAAGGCACCGCAATGCCTGTGTTTCCATCGTACCTCTGAAAACCTGCTGTAATTTCCCAAAGCCTCATCCCCGACAATAATTTCTCCACCGTGCCAGCACCCCTCTGCTGGGCTGTGGGGTCTGCCCTTCTCCCAAAGCTGCCCTCGTCCCTCTGTAATTTTGCTCTCCCTGCAATTTTTTCACTTGTAGAAGTGAAACTGCTGAGTGTTTCGCAGCACCCGGCCCCCAAAACTGTATTTTTAGTGCAAAAGCACCCAAGGGAAAAAGGTTTTGTTGTTCATCCGTGGGTAAAATTTACACAGTGGTGATGGATGATACTGGCTAATCCATCAGGCTCTCTGTATTTTCACTGAGGGGTACTGTAAATTTTTATAAGCAAAACGACTTGTTTGTTTTAATGAATTACCTCTATTCGGAATATTTTTCTTGAAATTAAGTCTCTTTTTGGCATTCAGAGCTTGATCTCGTTGTCGCCCAGGCAAAACCTGCAGCCAAGCACACATTTTACTTGCGTAAGGAACTCTTGATTTGATCCTGATAGCTACAATATTCAGATAGCTATTTAAACTACTTAGCATAGCTATTTAATCTATTATTTCTTTTACAAGACAGCGTCTGCATAGTTGTGTGTTAATCTATGTATTATATCAAATATACAGGTATGAAAATATAGTTAAACACTTTGCAAAGCTGTTTCCACAAAGTATTTCATGTTTGAAATCACACTTGCTATTATCCCAGTATTAAAATAGAAAAAAATGTGACAGGTGAAATTATTTTAATGATGAAAATAGTTTTAAGTGCAATTACGGCTATTAAGCTGTCAGGTCTCCATCCCACAAATCCTTAAACAGGCACAGAACTTATACCCAATTAATGAAACGAAGTAGGTAAAGGTGCCCATTTGTGCCTGGAGAACATGACAACATCAGTCATTAAAGGAGGGATAAGTAGGGGGTGTGAACTGGCATCATTATGTACGGTATTTCCGTAAAAGTTAAAGAAAATTGGCTTGCCACCATATAGATATATCGCAGCAGTCCCACGTACCCTGGTGACAGTGGCTCGGGTGGAGGGGGACCTCTGCGAGCTGTGGAATCCAACCTCTGCTCAACGCGGAGCTGATCTCAAAGCCAGACCGCGTTTTCCCGCAGGCTGAGATTTCAGAACGGCGATGGTGGGGAGCATGGATGACCTGATCCTGCAAATGCACCCTCGGCTTTCCACCCAGAAAAGTCCCGCTGGCTGTACCCGTGGGTTCTCTTTCTTAAAGTTAAGCACGTGCTTGGGTGTTGGCAGGAGAGAAGCTGCGGTGCCATCAGACATATCTTGGTGCTGGCCTTGCCTGGTTCCTAATACCCTCACGACCGTACTTTGGTACTCGGAGGTGTTCTCGTGGCACCCAGCGGTCTCGCCTGCGCACGCAGGTCCCGCTGCCCGGAGTCTTCCCGGGGCTCAGAACAGGAGCCCAGTCCCCAACCCAGCAGCTTTTGGCCTTGAGCAGGAGGGGTTCGACTACGTAGGAAATGGCCTCAAGTTGTGCCAGGGGAAGTTCAGGCTAGAAATTAGGAGGCATTTCTTCACAGAAAGGGTCATTAGGCGTTGGAATGGGCTGCCCAGGGAGGTGGGGAGTCACCATCCCTGGAGGGGTTTAAGGAAAGACTGGAGGTGGCACCTAGTGCCATGGTCTAGTTGACATGGGGGTGTTAGGGCAAAGGCTGGACTCAATGATCCCAGAGGTCTCTTCCAACCAAATCAATTCTGTGATTCTGTCCCTCCAGCCCTTCACACTCCGATCCGCAAAGTCTACGCTGATGTTTCTGTGCGTATCGGAACTCCAGAACCAGCGTCGGGGATGCAGATGTTTTTTTGCCTTGATGACTGCAGCCCCCTTTCCTCAGCCCTTGACTGTGGTCTCACCACCCTGCCATCCTCCTGGCAGGGTGATCTGGCTCCTGTGAAGGTCCTTCAGGAGGACAGAGCTGGCTGGGATGAGCCCTGTGGCTCCTGGAGGGTGGCTGGGGATAGCGGTCACACATGGAGATGTGTGTGAATCAAAGTCTGTGCTGGCAAGGATGAGGGCTTTAGAAACAGGAGACAGAGCTGCTCTTAGGCTGGTGCCAGCTGGTCCTGTGACAGTGCTGGTGGTGTATTGTATGTTAATTAGGTAATTATAGTTCTCATCAGGCCACAATTAGATAGGAGACTGAAATCAGATCCACTTGTTAGTCCTGCTAACACTTCTGCACGTTTCAGCCCACTGGGACCAAAGGACTAAGGTGCAGGATGAGGATCTGCGTAAGGGATGGTGACTCTTGTCTTCACTGAAGCCAGCAGACTGGCCAGATGTCTTCTCCTGGAGACTGGCTGGGTACGGGTGCCAAGGGAAGGGTAAAAGCAGGGGGCACCATGGTAACTCCCCCAACCTTTAAACATTTGCGATTAGGGAGTTCTTGAGACGCAGGTGGGATTTTTGCATTCAGCAGCTCTTGATAGACTTCATTGTTGTAAAGATGTTGTACAGATGGAGGTCAAACCCTGCTCACCTCACTGAGTGCTGGCTTCTTTGGGTCTGGCTGCACGTCCAGGACTGTCCTAGGTTGTACCTATGGGTAGAATCACAGAACAGGTTGGAAGGGACCTCAAAAGATCATCTGGTCCAACCTTTTGTGGGAAAGAGAGCCTAGATGAGATGATCTAGGCAGGGACAAGGTAGGAACATCCCTCCTTTTCTTTTTGGTGCTACTTTCTCCCAGCCGCCTTTAGTGTGTAGAGCAGCTGCCCTCGGATTTCAGCTACAGCTGAAGCAAGCTGGGTTTGGCATATCAACAGGGCTGGAGGAAGGGCCTCAATCAAACACGCAGATCCCTTCAGTTGCTGCTTCTTGCTTGCAGGTCTGGAGTTGTCTCACTGTGTCGGGGCCAACTCGCTGGGCCCAGCTGTGCCTTGGAGGTCTGGGGGGCCCTGCAAGATGAAGAGGGTCCGCACGGTCTTCAAACCAGAGCAGCTGGCGCGGCTGGAGCAAGAGTTCCTCAAGCAGCAGTACATGGTGGGCACGGAGAGAGTAGACCTGGCGGCAACTCTGCATCTCACAGAGACTCAGGTAAGAAACGGGGGGAGCTGGGGATGGTGGCATAGATCCTGGCTCTAGGTTTGGTCTGCGGTGATCTCCCTGCCATGAAGTGCAGTGGGAGGAGGACATAGAATGGATTTGGTTGGAAGAGAGCTCTGGGATCACCGAGTCCAACCTTTGCCCTAACACCCCCATGTCAACTAGACCATGGCACTAAGTGCCACCTCCAGTCTTTCCTTAAACCCCTCCAGGGATGGTGACTCCACCACCTCCCTGGACAGCCCGTTCCAATACCTAACGACCCTTTCTGGGAAGAAATGCCTCCTCATCTCCAGCCTCAGCCTCCCCGGCACAGTTAAATGATGCAAAGTGACCTGTGGGACTCCCTGCTGCAAGATGACATTGAAGCCATGTGCCTCGAGGGATGCGAGATAGGTTTAGATGGTTTATGAATAAGGACATCCTTTTCTTAATCCATGAAGTGGAACAAAAAGCATTTAGGAGCACAAACCTGCTCGCTTTAGAGTTCAAGCTCCGTTGGACTGATGTATTTACATTGTTATGATCCTCTGGAGATAGTTTATGCTTTAAGTGTCCTTTCATGACGCCGAATCTAAATTTTTTTTCTGCTCTTCCCAGTAAGTTTCTGCCTCTCCCACTGCAAGCTGCTTATTTATTGTGGAAAGGAGGAGCCACTTGATCTTATAGAATCATAGAATCATTATGGTTGGAAGAGACCTCAAAGATCATCAAGTCCAACCGTAATCTTCCGTGGTGGGATCCAAATTCCACTGGGGAAAAGGGAGAGCAAAGCAAGGGCAGTTCTGGGGGTGACAGGGAGGGTGTGAACAGCACAGGGAGCAGGGGCAGGGGGTAGGTGGGTGTCTCATCGTCCCCTCTGGCACCCGTAGTCCTGGCCATGGGTTCAGTGACTCCAGGGAGCTCAGGGGGGACACTTTCTTCGCTCCCCCGGCCAAAGCCTTCTCTGTGCAGCTGCGTCCCCTTCTCCCCTGGTCCCTTCTCTCGGCATCACTCTGCCCTCCATAGCGTCACCTCCTCCTGCTCACATGCACCGTGCCCCAAGCAGAGAAGGGGCATGTCCCCCTCTAAGGAACTCTGCTTTTTGGGGACATCTGCCTCGGAAGCATTTGGCGATGGCCCCCCTTGGAAAGGGGCTCCTGGAGACCTTGAATTAAGCTGTTGTGCCATTTTCCTGCTAGGTGAAAGTCTGGTTCCAGAACCGGAGGATTAAATGGAGGAAGCAGAGCATGGAGCAGAAGGCGGCAAAGCTGTCACAGTTTGGGGTGATACAGCCTGCCACTGCGGACTCCACGGACATCAAGGACCACGAGGAGGACACTGTGGATGTTGAGCTTTGAACAGCTGATGAGATTCAGCTGCCACTGTTGTTTTTTGAGCCATGTGTGCTTGATGGAGATACTGGAGATGCACACAGGTCTGTGCTTCTTTGGTCCGAGTGAGACATTATGCTCTTGATCTGAGAGCTGGAGCTACAGGACTAAACCGCAGCTGGTTGGCCCCGAATATTGTTTGGCTGCTCTTTGGTAGCCACGTGCCGTAATTCCTGGTGCTTCATCACCAGGCCGGTTGTACTTGATGGTGCCATAGCTGTGGCGAGGCATGCGATCTCCTGTTTGCTCTTGAAGCACCAGGACGCATCAGTGGTTTCCAGCAGAGAGGCTGGGGTGACAATCGGATGGTGACTCTGACGGCTGTGAGCACAAGGGCATTTGAACATGGGGTCACTTGCGTTGCCTGTGGCTGCGTGCTGCTAGGAGGGAGACCTGTGCTGGGAAGAAAATCAACTCTGATTGTTTTTCCCGGTCAACTTGACTCCCATGTTTGATGCTTAGATCGCAACAACAGCAACAAAAAAGTGACAATTGGAAAGCCCTTTGCTCGCACCCGCAAACTCTATCATTACTCTTGCAATAAGATGAACAGGGTGTGATCCTGCCCCTGGAACACAAGTACCTCCTCTTGTCCTGTGCCTTGGTGTATTCATGCCTTTGTTTTGGCTTCCCAAACCCGGAGGGCGGAATCTGCTGGGTGTCTCTGTCTTCTGGCATTGCCTTACTTCGCCAAGCTGTGCGTATGCTGCTGTAGCCGGGAATGAGGCACTTGGGCTGGCTGAGGTGCGGGGATCAGGGCTGTTATAAAAAGGCAGCTTTCCAACACCTCTGGTGCTTCAGACGACCCCCTGCCCCTCGTCCAGATGTGCCGATTCTGGCCCAGACGGCAGTTGCTCTGTTCTCTCCTCATTATACATCCAGGTGCTATGGGAAATGGCACCTGGAGTGTTCGGCGAGCACATCTGTAACCACCCGATGCAGTTTGTTCTTGTGTTTCTGGTGGGTGGGAGGGCTTTGGGGGGTCAGGACTAAGCACTCCACCCTCCCCGTCTGTGTGTTAGCAGCTAAGTACTCTTAGGCCAGGCTGTCTGGCGCTTAGGCTCTCACCTCGACTTCCTAAGCCTGCCCAGGGTACCAGGCATCACGTCCCATCAGCTCAGGATAATTTATTGCATCTCTTTCTATCATTTTACTCTTACATTGTTATTTATAGAAATAACTTTTTTTTTTCTCCTTAATAAGTGTCATTTATTTATTTGCTTTGCTTCTTAATAAAAATCTAGCGTATTTTAAAAAGAGGTGGGACCGGCTGGGGGGAGGCAGGGTTGGGCAGCTCCTTGGTTTCTGAGCAGGCAGCAATGCCTCAATGGCTTCTCGCCCCACAGCTGCCAGGGATGGGTTATCCATCCTTTTTACTGTGTACAGTTTTATCTGTGTTTCTGAGGAAATGGAGGTAAAAAAAAAAAAAAGGAGAAAACAAAAGAAATGCACCTTTTCCTCCTCCTAATAAGAGCCCTGTTGTCAAAAAGTAATATCTGCTTTCCAACAGAAGTCACAAAAAGGTGATTTCTTCTCCTAGGTTTTCATTCCTGACATGCCAATACAAATATGAAAGTGTTTGTTTGGTTTTTTTTTCCCCACACTTGTGCGTTTGCTGGTAAACCTGTGCACTCCTCTTCAGCTTGAACATTTGGAATGGTGCAAGAACAGCTTTCAGACAGATTAGCTGAAAACCTCTAAGTGTCAAAAAAATAGAAGGAAAACACATTTCCAACTACTCTCTTTTTAATTTTAAATTGAAATTATTAACAAAAAGAAAACCCAATGTATTTTCATCCTTCCCAAAAGTTTGAGGTTTTTTTTTTCTTAATAAACTCGGTTTGGACAAAACATATGCTGAAAAAAGAATTTTGGAAATTGATTGATGACCTCATATCATGGCTGAAAGTAGATAATAACATGAGTTGTTATCTCCGGGCCAGTTCCTGCAGGGATAGAGCGACATTTACAGTGAGAAACGTAAGGTTTGGTTAGCATGGAGTGCTCGGGTTGGGGCTGCTGTTCCCGGAGAACAAGGACCTCCGTCCTTGGGTGGATGCGGCCAAACCTGAGCAACCCCTGCTCTGCCACGTTGATGCTTCAACAAACTCAAGTCCAGGCGAAGGTTTCCCCTGCGCTCTGCAAACACAGAAGCAGTAGCAATCCCAGCCCAGCTTCAGAAATACTTCAAATTAATGTTGTGAGCACCGGGGCTCGTTCAGAGACATGAAGGACGCTTTGAAGCGTTGCTGGCTGGGCCACGACTCGAGCTGATGCTCCACGTGTGAAACGCCCTGCCGCTTAGCGCCGAAACCTTAGCAAAACAGGACATGTAATACTGTTAGTACAATAATGGCGAGTCTTCCTTTTATTAGTATGAAGATGTAATTGAAGTAGGAGTTATATGGGAGCATTGCTCCACCCGTGTCTAGGTCCTTGTAGACCCCTGGGATGAGCATGGCGCGGCGGAGCAGTGCGGCGCACAGCCCGCTGGTGGGTTCACCGGGGCCAGGCCCCAAAATACAGATGGGGAAGGTGGCCCAGGCCCTTTGTCTGTCCCTTGTCACCAGCCGGGTGGCTAGGAAGGTGTCCTGCTCTGCGGCCATGTTCCCACATGGGCCGCTGGCCTGGCCATGTTTAGGGTCCAACCCGCCACGCAGCACGGTGTTACCGGCCGGTGTCGGTGTCGTGTCCCCGCCACAAGCCGACAGTGACATCTAGTGACACCAAAACATCCCAAAACGCCCCAAATATGAAATCACCCCATTTTTCCCCATTTTTCCCAACCCCGCTGCAGCTGCCTGGTTGATGACGAGCGGGACCGAGTCTGAACGGGACCTGGCAGCACCGGGGTGAATTAGTAAATACCACTAAACCCGCATTTGCGTGGATTTTAGGCGTTTGCAGCCAGCCTAGCAGGGGGTAGC